AATTATTTATTAAGCATGAGAAAAAAATTAATAAGTTCTCCTTAAACCTTCTTGCAGATCCACTACAGTTCATTTATTTGTCAGTTTCTTAGCAGACTCACAAGTGGACAGTTTTAGCAGGTTCTCTGGGGAATCATAATGCTACTTTTGATTTCAACAGCCTTTTGATTTCCAAAATATATTTAAACTTCTTTACTTTGACAGCAGCAGGATAAATAGAATAAAAAATATACTAATACACTTTGCTGGCTTTCTTTGCACCTTAAGATTGAAGCTATTTAAACTTCGTACTGTAGCTTGTTCTAGTTTGAGCTACAAAACATTGCTCCTGTGTTCTATTAAACTGGTTTGGTTAATAATTCCCCTGAATTCACAATTCTTGCCATTCTATTTATTTGCTAACATTCTTCCCTCACTCAGGAGTAAATTACTCCTCTAGTTTCCATTATCACTTCTCACACTTCTCCTCCTTTTCATGTGTACTTCTTAAGATCCTACCCAAGAGCCAGGGATGTAGGATTGTTTTCTACTCCAGCAGAAGACAGACAGACAAGTGTCATCTTGGCTGTGCCCACTTGCTTGCCTAAGATTGTCACAGCTGAGCTTGTTGACTGTTCACCATGCAGATCCTCTCCTGGGCCTGCCACATCTCCCAATGTGATTGGCAATTTGGTTCTTATGGCTCATAGCCTGGAGGAGAGGCTAGGGCATATAGCTGGGGAAGATTATGGGAAAGTCTCATTCACCATTTTATGTTATTATGGGGAAAGAACACCCATGCTTGGATAAAGACTTTGTGATGTAGTCTTAAGGGGGGGGGGAGTACCCACATTTCTGTAAGTAAACCCTCTCCCATTGCTCTGTAAGTAAGCCAAATAAACTCACTGGCTTCCCAGATAGCAGTGTGACTAAACCATACCTAGGTTTGTTGTTAGGACCGAGGGAGGAGGAGGGAATGTTGTTTACATGGTACTTTTCAGACAGAAGGAATTTTAGCAAAGATATAGCTCAGTTGGTAGAGTGCTTGCCTAGAATTCCAGAAAACACTGAATTCCATCACCAGCACCATGTAAATCTGGTGTGGTGGAATATTCCTGTAATCCCATCACTCCAAAAGTACAAACAGGAGGATTAGACCATCAATGGCTACATAGTGAATTTGAGGCCAAGCATGGCATACATATGACCAGGGTTTTCCAAAAAGAAAAAAAAAAAAAAAAAAAAAAAGAAAGAAAGAGAAAGGAAGGAAAAAGGAAAGAAGTGAGGGAGGAAGAAAGAGATTTCATTCTAAAAAGTCACCTCTATCATGACTCTTATTTTGTCTGGCTTTTCCATAATCATCTCTCTTCTGTCTAACTGCATCACTATTCAACACTATTTTACCATTAGGACACTTTTCTTTGGGCCATTAACTACATATATTCTGTTTTATTGTGCTATGTTTTATAATGTATAAAACCTCGGTGATTTTATACTTGACAAATAGACAAATGAATAGAAGTCAATATAAGAATTTGAGAGCAAACTTTCCTAATTATCATCCATTTATACTTTCTGATTTCTTTTGCTAAGAAATAAGCATACTCACAGTACAGAATGGCTTGCCCAGGGACTTGATAAGCCTTAAGATGTATGACAGAATGCATGAAATTCAGTGTGTGTTGGGGGCGAGGAGGCTGTGTGGATTATGAATAGTGGAGGGGACCTGAATATGACTGGGATTTCCTGTACGAAATACACAAAAATTCAATAAAAATATACATCAAAAAAATGCATGCCCTATTGTCTCTGAAGCAATGCTACCTTGAGACTACCATCTGTGAGAATGAGTGAAATCTCAACAAGATAAAATACCTGGTTATTTTTACTTGTAGGAAAATGTCACATGTGTATTTGCTATGAGGTTACAGTTAATAAAACATTAGTGCCAGGAGAGTCCCTTGATTTTCCAAGGCCATGTATACTCTACTTCTGGTTAAAATAATATCTGCTCCCCAGCCAGAGAAACAGTACAGAAGGAATCACTGGATAGTTATATCAGAGGTGTCTTCATTGAATAAGATTCAATTCTTGAAACAAGAGAGTAAGCTGTCAGAATTGATGAAGTCATGCTGTGCATGATAGCACTTGTCTGTAAACCCGGTACTTGGGAAGCAGGAAGAGACTATGTTTGAGGTAAGCCTAGACTTTATAGTGAGACCCGAGTTGCACATATCAGCCCTTTCAAAAGGCACTAGAAACCAAAAGTTTCACAGAAATCGTTCGTTATGCAGGGTAACCTGACACTAACTAAATGTATTCTAACCTTGGTTCCTACAGATATTTGGTTCCTACAGATATTCTATTTCAGATATTTGCTTCAGACACAAGCATGTTTCACCTCGAGAATTGAGAAATCTAGCCAGCCTGTATGACAGGAATGAATAAATTGAAAGAATGGACCCCAAGAAATTAGAATTTCCCCCCAGATTTACTGCTGGGAACGAAGAAGGCTGAAGCCCCGGGTACAGCAGACGAGGGACCTGTCTGGAAGAGAAAGATTTATAACTTGCCAGATGGCCTTGTAGGAGAGACTGACCTTGCAGGAGTGACTTGGAACTAAGAGAGTAGCAGTAGGCTGGGATCACACTTTGCCAGACTACTGAGTCATGTTCATGGCTCTCTTTCTTTTTAAATGCTACTCTCATGTTAGGACTCAGAAGATGGAATTTGGAGAGATTCGCTGTATTTCTTTATCCCTCTTCCCAATGTCGCAGATTTAATAAATCTTTTCCTGACTTTTTACTATTAAGAAAGTAAATATCTGTTTTAATGATTGCTCAAGTATGAAAGATCAGCTTGCTTCACACATTTAACTATCTTAATACTCTTCGTATCAGACTATTAGAGAGACATACAGATTAACAAAAAGGTATTCAAATATCAATTTAAATAAAAAATTTGTAACATTTAGAGAGACATACAGATTAACAAAAAGGTATTCAAATATCAATTTAAATAAAAAATTTGTAACATTTACAAACAGTTAAATGACAATTTAAGATCAAAACTATAAATAATTCAAGTGAAATCGCTCATGAAATACAAGAGGAATGAACCAGAGACAAATAGAAACTCAAATATAAACTTCTCAGAGAGTAAAAGATAAATTTTCTGCAAGACAGAAATTAAATTTTATGAATAGTGAAAGAAATAGAAAAGCAGTGCAGGAGAAAAGCATAAAAAGCTAAGCTAAACCAGAAAATTCATGAGGGGCAAGGGGGGAAAGAAATTCAGAGGAAACAAGCTGGTCATGTTTCATAGATTTCTTGATTTGTTTAGACATTTCAGGCTTTTCCCCAGGAGAAGGCTGGGAGAAGCACACACCACTTATTTAATTTCTCTTTGGGTCACATACCAAGGAAGAAAGATTGGCCTCACCCCATCCCCATAATGCTGCCTTCCCAGTCACATTTCTGACCATAACTGTACAATAGTTTAACATTGTAAGCATTCCTAGAAACTGGCTGTAATATGTTTTTTCTCAGTCTATATTTATAATGCTTGAACTTGAGAATCTTCAACAATAATTTCAAATCTACAGTTAGAAAATACCTATAATTTGCCATATTTGAATTGTTTGTAAAATTTAGAAATTCAGCACTGCAATGCAAGTCTATGGAAATGTCTATATTTGAGATCAGAAGAATCTGAAACTTCATCCAGCAGCACTTTCAGTAGGAATTTTTCTCTTTCTAGGTGAGGATTTGGGACACATAAAACACTCATTTGACTCACCTGGTGACAATTTAATTTGAGACTATCAACTTCATTCTCAATATATTCCATCCTTGAAATCGTAACATTGCTTGTGATGCTACATGCAGGCTATGAAGTTAGTTATAGTTAACTCAATGCCACCATAAATTCTTAGTGCATATGGCTATTCATTAATCCCTTTGAAAGAGGCCCAGACAAAACCTAACTGGATTTAAACTATAGTCTGTTAAGTAAAGCATTCATGTACTATATCAAGAATGAATAAATGAGACACATTCTAGGTGCAATTTTTCTGAGCCTGATTATGAGAAAAAGTAAAGGCAGTGAAACTTAAATAGGAATAACTTCTTATTAGTAATCCTTTTAAAGACCACACTCTGAACCCAACTGTAACACAGGTAGGATGTAGGACAAAATGGAGATCCACAGATCTCTCTAAGTATTTAAAGATCTTTAAGTATTTAAAGATCTCTTAGTATTTAAGAATTACTAAATGAGCTAACATACATTTTAGCAAATTATGTTCTATTTTACATCATGACAAATATAATTTTAGGTGACCTGGAAGTCTAGATTGGAATTTGCAGTGTTTGGACTCTGTGTGATCATGGACTCACAAGGCTCCGGACAAAAAGGCATTAGCTTTACTGCCGTTTTTAGCTGTGCTAAAGTTCTTTCCATAGTCTTCAGATTCTCGTGTGTGTCTGAAAAGTCTACCCCCCAAACTTCTTCCCCTTATGCCTTCTTGTCTTTTGGATTACATTTCAGTTTTACTCACTGGGCTCTTCATTCACATGGTGACATGTGCTCAGTAACATCTCTAAGTGATTACCAAGTTGGGACTTACTTCCCTGCAGACCTGAGGAAGCCATCTCAGTTTTCTTACATTGCATCTTCAGCATCTAACAAATTACACCACTGGAAGTAGATCCTCGGTAAACACTTGTCTGATAAGGATTAGAATTTCTTCTTGGGCACCATAAAATGACCTCTTTCTCGTGTGATTCTAAAGCAACTCTATGACTTAATATACAGTATGTTAGTAGCTAATTTGATTTTGCTTTTGTAAGTTTTTTTACTTTTATTCTATCTCTATCATCTCTCCTTGCTTGTGTTATCGGTAGCTCTTGTGTGTTGCCTTGTGTATATAAGTATAGAGCATCTATTAAACCACATAGAAAACAATGATTTTCAATGAGTCTAAATAAGCCTCATTTAAAAACACTCAATTCAGGACTTACCATCCCCTGTCTCTGCACAGATCTGTAAGCCCAAGTTGTTCTGTGGGTTAACCACCCAGTGGTTGCTGGTTGCAGTGATGTCAAAGACGAGCCAACCCACGTCTAAAGCTTGGATTGTCCTTGTGTCTAACAGGAAGAGATCTGCATCCCTAAGGAGAAAGGAATAAAAAAATTAAGGTTTGGATGAAAATCGTCATTTCCAATATGAAAGTGAAAGTATTTCAAAAGCACTTTTAAGTTAACAGTACTTGATTGAAAAACAAGGGAACCAGTGACTCCAGAGATGAGCAGTAAGATGCTACTCCTCCCAACCCAAACCTGGGGCACATTAAGACTATCTGAAAGTAATTTCCCAGTTTCCTGTTTCTTTGTGATATTTCACACTGACTTAGTGCTCTTAATTTTGTCCCTGGAAAGTATTTCAAAAGCACTTTTAAGTTAACAGTACTTGATTGAAAAACAAGGGAACCAGTGACTCCAGAGATGAGCAGTAAGATGCTACTCCTCCCAACCCAAACCTGGGGCACATTAAGACTATCTGAAAGTAATTTCCCAGTTTCCTGTTTCTTTGTGATATTTCACACTGACTTAGTGCTCTTAATTTTGTCCCTGGTCATTAGAACTCCCCCAAACTAACACCTTAAGAAGGAGGAGAAGGAGGAG